TCTAATACCAATCCTAATCTTACTCTTATATCTACTAGTCTCAGGGTGTTTAACTAGTCTCTGCTAGGCTTAATAGATCTAAAGTATACTAGCTTTATTGCGATTGCTGGAAGGTCTCTTGGAGAGGTAACTAATTTCTAAGTTAAATTCAAATCTCTCTGGTGCTGAAATTACAAGTAATTTCAGCACTTACAAATAAGTGGGTTGTTAGTTAGATGGATCATGATTGGTTAAAATTAAATATTTTATAGTGATAAAATATCTAATTTATAACCAATAATAAAATGTAGTTTAGATCTGGTTCCACGATGTAAAGTATGCAGAGTAAAACTGTTCGCTGGTTACTTGAACGATCACACCAGCTTTCATTGCATTATGTCAATATTGAAAATAGTTTTTGAAATTCAAATTCCAATGTGAGTGTGGATGAATATATTGGAGAATACATGCTATTAAACCTCTAATACAAGGCAACGAAAGTAGATTTTTGTAAACTCAAAAAGCTATTCTATTTGAAATGCCAATGCGTGGAGTTAGGAGTGAAAAGAGTAGCAGTTTTTGACCTTCTGGGACTTGGTCTTATTATTGCAACCATGAAGTGAGAGGTAAATTATTTTCAGGAGCGTCCTCATATTTCCAATCTGGGATAGGTACTGAACATTATCATCAGATTGGGTCGAAATTTTTCCGTGTTGAGAATAATTTGTTTTTAACTTTTGCCTGAAGAAATCTTTGGCGTATCGAGACAGTCTTGGTGTGGCTTCATTGCTAGTGAAAAGTTTTAAGCTTTTATTATTATACGTGGAAGAAGCCATTGCTTGTTGATTCTAAAACAGATTTTAAACCCTCGAAAAAGCTATATATTTTTTTTGAAAAATGAGAAAATCATTAAATCTTTGAAAAAACACTAAATCTACAAAAAACACTCAGTAAAAAACAGTCTGAATGAGTTATGTTGTGAAAAAATGCACTTTTTCAAAAGAAACTACGCTCGCTAACTGACTAGAGTAGATAAAGCAAGCTTAAAAACGTGAATCGGAACTTGAATGCAAAACCCGTGCTAATCGCAATCGAAAATGAGAAATATTATGAGCAACATGTCTATTAAGAGAAACAAGACTGCTCGTACCAGGGCGTAGCCCTGAATGTTCCGACTGCCTTTTAAAGTTTATTAAGCAGCAGTAATAGCGCGAATTATATTGCGCGTTAAATGTCCCAAATTGGTCAAAATGGCAATCTTTAAACCCTCATAACTTTACGAAAAATGATCACAGGTGAAATATCTTTTCAAACTTAAGCTCAGGACAACAATACCTTTTGAATGATAAAAAAAATTCCGTCAAAAATGGCTAGTTAAAAAGTCGAAATTTGTCTGAAGAAAAAAAAACCCACCCCGAGCACAACTATTCCGTTACTTTCGTATCGAAAGTCGGAACAATTATAAGCTCCAAGCACAGCAACTTTGGCTAAAACTTCTTTCTGGAAAAAAACTTCTTTCTATTTTGAGCATCTGCGGAGCAAATAAGAGCTAGCTTAGAATCACAAACCAATGGCTTCTTTCGCCGTATAAAAATAAAACCTTGAAAGCTTTCACTAGCAATGAAACTATAACAAGAATGATTCCATGCGCCAATTTTTCTTCAAGCAAGATTTTGAATCATATTTTTCCCTACACAGAAAAGTTTGGATGATTAGTTGTAGTACCTGATTCTGTAAGGAGAAAATCATGACACTCCTACAGATAAAGTTCCCACTTCATGTTGGCAGAAAAAGGAGACCAAAACCCAGCAGATCAAACACTAGGGCTCGTGTAAAAGTTCGGCTCTTTTCCACCACTATCTCCACGCATTTCAATAATGCATTTTTGAAATTTGAAAAACTTGTCTATCGTCGTCAACATCTTAAGCAAATTTAGCACAGAAGCGACATAGAGCTTCGCAACACTTACAATAAAAATCAACCATAGCATTGCAAACCGGCGAATAAAAAATGTGGAAATTATTTAACTATATCTACAAAAAAACTCAAGAAAAGACCGTCTCAAAAAAGAGGTCTTTAAAATTGCTCATCGCCACTAAGTGGACAATACTTGAGTAGTTGAATATTCAGACAAACTCATAAACAATGAAAAATGCTATCAAAAAATTTCGTAACAAAAAATTTTGAGCTGCTAAGTTTCAAAACTTGAACTACTTACACCCCACCCCTCATGTGACATGGAAGTTAACTTTTTTTCATTCAAATGGCACGATATGAAATGAGTGCGCAAAAAAAAACAGAAGCGAAGTCGAGCTTCGCATCAGTTGAATTACAACTCCACCGTAGCACAAGCTAGCGAATAGAAAATGAGACGAAAAAATTTAATTTAGGAAAAACAGTCGCGAAACACAAATACCAGTAAAAAAGGAGCTTCAAATACTTACCGACCGGCCACTAAGCCAACAATATGTGGGTATACGCCCAATGAGTCGGAAAAATGCCATTAGAAACTGTTTGAAATTATTGACACAGAGGAGAAATTATTGACCACAAAAAAGCAGCTCTATCAAGTGAAACACAAAAAAGTAGAAACATGCCTCGTATTAGCAAAAACTCGGCTACGTGTCAGATTCGAATTTGCGACCCAGCAAATTTGAGTCTCACGCATTAATCATTCAGCCAGGGATGCTTAAAATCCCCAAAAACTAGCCACCAATGACGCAGCTGCACATGCTAATAAATTGCCAATTCGATGCAATTGGAATGCATAAAACCAAACTATGTATTAAGGATTCATTTCAAAAAACTTGCGACATACATTGAGCCGGACAAATTCTGAAATCGAGTTTTTTTTTATCATTGTACTGTTGTTTGAAACAAATAACTTTTTTTGATTCATTTGATGAATTAACACAGAGGCGAAGCTGCACTTCGCATACACAAGCAAAAATATGACCGATAACGCTACTGGGAAAAACTGAATGAGTAAAACTTTGAGTCAACAGAATTTCTTAAGTGACGCACGCCAATTATGAGTCTACATAAATGGTAAGTGACGCAAGCCAATTATGACGCATTAGCAGTACCAGTCAATTTGAAAAAAAAAACCAACTAACATGCCTCAAATTATAGAACGCATTTTAGCTGGTATATGAAATAGTTCATTTAAAACATCCGACCCTGCCCAGGTTCGAACCCTCTTATTTTGTTGCGGGCATCCTTTCCTATCTCTACGCTACAGATCCATCTTGAATCTAAAGTGATATTTGCAATATAATAGCCTGTGTTAATATCCTTAGCATTGGCTGTACTTATTAGCTGGTTATTGATAAAAAAACTTCGCAACAATATTTGCGTCGCAACAATATTTGCGCCAAAGGTTGAAAAAAAAAAGAGTTCATACTATAACAATCTTTGATTGTCTAAAAATGCATCAGCTGTTAACTTTTTACTAATCAAATGTCAACACACATTTGATATTTTACTGCTACTGCAGCTTACCGATTTAAAAAAGGTACAAAAGGGAGCACTTCTATTTGCGACATAGATTGGAAAAAAAGAAAGTTCGTACTAATACACTTCGCTCCGCAAGTGTAAAAATGTTTTCAAAAGCTGAAAGTAACTAAAACTTTCTCTTCAAACAACACAAAAAATGTTGACCGAACCCATGTAACATAAAGTTAGTGCTACTAAAGTTACAAGTTAGAAGAATAAATCAACAACACTTCATCAGCACAAAAAAAACCGCAACTAAGCCGAGAAAATGTAACCAGACAAAAGAAATCCGACGTTATTCATATTTTCCGGGAAAAAATCTGAAATGGGGTATACAAATTGGGTGCACATACATAAACATAAGCTATATATATTTTTTGAAAAAATGAGAAAATCATTAAATATTTGAAAAAACACTAAATCTACAAAAAAACTCAATAAAAAACAGTCTGAATGAGTTATGCTGTGAAAAAATCATTAAATCTTTGAAAAAACACTAAATCTACAAAAAAAACTCAATAAAAAACAGTCTGAATGAATAATGTTGTTAAAAAAATCAATTTCATACATACTGAAATGGGTATACAAATGGGGTGCACATACATATACTGAAAACATATGCGGAAAAATACAAACAAATAGGGCTCAAAGACAACGGCGTTACCTCTAGACCGAATATTGGAAGGTATTTCGGTTCCATAATGAAGCAAGATCTATTTATTACAGATTTTTATTAACATTCATTAACGGGAAAGAAATCTAGCTCCTACAAGTTACTTGTTGTCGCAATTGAAATCATCGATTCGTAACACATCTTTTACCTCATAAAACAAATCAAGCATTTAGCCATAAACTCATGCACAAATATCATGACACAGGGGTGAAGCGGACCTTCGCACCACTTGTGATTCAACCAAACATATCATGACAAACAAACCGACAAAAAAAGAGACGAAAACCGCAAAAAACTGACATAAAATGTCCAAAAATCTGGATCTATCAATTTGTATCAAATTAAGCTTAATTTGAAAAAAACATAACAAGACAGTTGAATGTGAAGCTAGCATCGGAATAAAAAATTACCACGCGGACAAAGCCGACAAAATTCGAGCTCACACCTGTTGAGCCGAAGAAAAATTATTGCTCCCTGCAAAGAAATACACCAACTTCTTAAGCTGAGACCTTATAACCCACAAATGATGAATTTATGAAAAATTGGAATTGATAATTTTCTAACAAAAATCAAACTTCGAAAACAGATTGTATTTAAAATGGAGACATGCTCAAAATAAACTCGTTGGTTAACGACTTTCAGAATTGGAGATAACAACTTAAGTCAATCTGTTAACAAATCATTTACTGGCAAAAAGTCTGGTACCCGGTTGCAATAACCTTGCTTATCACACATGTACAAATGAAAAAATGCAAATCGAAAAGAGCTACATTGCTTTACAGATTTTTAAGTGAAAGCTCGGTAGAAGTCATAATAATTTACCAAGTCACGCTGTTACAGTATAAATTATTACCTTCAAGAAAAGACTTCGTCTGTTCTTCAATGCCCCTTGAAAATCTAAACTGAACCAGCAGTCTAATATATTCCTCTTTGTTCTGCTCCGTGACACTGATTTCTCCGCCACCCGGTTTCAGTTCAACAGTCTCGACGTTTCCCAGCTTCTCGTAACTGTCTGCAAACACCAGATACAAGTCATCCATTTCATCCAAGTTCGTGTCTTGTATGTACTTGATAGAATTGTAGAACTCAGGGTCTGCAGATTCCAAATCAGTCAAGTTGAGCGGTCTGTTTAAAAGACGTTTGTAGAAAGGCAAAGTAAACCCGCTGTCAATGTATTTCGCGTGAAAAAGAGCCAGTGCAATTACCCTCCCTATGAACTTAAAGTACATTAAATGGTCTGGATTCACATCGGAGGCTGGGTTTATTTGGAGTGAATAGGAATTGTTGTTAGCATACTCAAAGAGACAATACATTGGGTTCAGCATTTCACGAGAGAGCATGAAAAACCATTCTCTAGCCACACCTCCATAGTCTAATCCATCCTCGCCTTTGAAATGGATAAACAGCCGTCTTCGTAAATCACTTGGCGTGTTTTTCATAACTTGGTGAAAAGAGTCTTCAAAAACATTAGTACGGGATACCGTAATTTTAACTTGATTCGGCAATGCATGTTGGTGACAGAGATAGCGAAACTGGTTCATTTTGAATTTGAAGTTACGTTCATAGCTGAATTGGCTGATGTGTCCCGCAGTGACAACCGATTTTCCAGTTCGAGGATCTGTGAAGGTAGTTTTCCTGTTGTTATGATCCACAAAATAAGGATAGCCTTCGGGTGACAAACGCATCTCCCATCCAGGTGGTAAAGGCTGTTGCGGTGCTGCCGCTAGATTTCTTCTCGGATCTTCCCAAGACGTAGTTCTCGTATTATGGTCGACGTAATAGGAGCGTCCATTACTATCTGTTCTTCGCTCCCATCCAGCGGGCAGAGGCCCTTCGCCGTCGTCCGCTGAAGAAATCGTATACTGATTCGAGTATCGACTGTCCAGATTCGCCCGCTGTTGTTGATAGTTTCGATCCTCGGCTCCTCGCCAACTTTGATAGTTTCTCACTGACTCCGATGTCGGTTTTTGCCAAGTGGTTGTTCTTGTGTTATGATCGATGTAATAAAGGCGACCTCTCTGATCAAGTTTCCGATCCCAACCAAGAGGTAATGGATCCGGTCTCTCCCAAGATGTAGTCTTTGTCAAATGATCGACGTAGTAAGTTCTTCCCATATTATCTTGACGCGCTTCAACATTAGGCGGTAGACGAGTCTCCGCGACATTAGCTGGAACAGCGGACGAAGTTGCAGATGAACCCGCCGGTACTGCTAAATTTGCCGTTGCAGCCGAGCGCGCAGGGCTATTTTGAGATGAGCTAGCAGTGAATGCCGGAGCGGCAACAGTCCCTGGTGTACTCGCACCAACGCTCGAAGGCAATGTCCAGTGTGTGGTTTTAGTGTTATGATTTACGTAATATTTCCGACCTTCTGGCGTTTGCCTCATCTCCCAACCAGCAGGAAGGCCTTCAGAGCTCCTGCTGCAGTTTGCTGGAGGGCTAGTTGTTCCATTAGTCTGAGGCGCAGTTAGCTGGTTATTACTGCGCAGAAGAATACCATCTAACTCGGTTTCCAACTCACCCTTTAGCCCACAGTTGGCCAGCTTAACTGTAACAGGCACCTTACGTAACGTCCCATTGTGGCGTTCAACGATTGGTTGAACATCTATAGTCCCAGATAAATACTTCTCAGATTTTCCTTTCTTGTACAAGTGAAATTCCAGTTTTGAAGCCGGTGTTAAAAGAACCGAAAAGGTCTCGTCCCATTTTGGAATTTTGGACTTTTTCGAATACTCACTCTTCCTACTGGCCTCTGCATCTACGGAAAATTCACACATATACTCAGTTTTGAGACCATTTTCGGGCAATTTAGCACTTTTTATAGTTAGTTTAACTTGGAAATTTTCGGTCATTGATCTGAAAGCAAAAAAGTAGAATTCCTTATCTTTGAGACAAAATCGTTCCAGTTGGATATCTAAATATTATATCGGAGAAGGTTTAGTTCTGTGAATTCTTTTTTTTTCTTTTATTTTTCTCTTTTCTTTTTTTTTCTTTATTTTTTTTTCTGCGGTAATCAGAAGGTCAAAAGTATCTAATAAGAAATTTAAAATGTTAATTCAAACGCTTTCGCACATTCTGTGCATCATCAGGATTAAAATTTTTTACAATAATTACATAACGATCAAAGATCTGAAAAATGAGAAACGTAGTAGTAGTAGTAGTAGTAGTAGTAGTAGAATAGGCTTCAGAGCATTAGCTCTAGGGAATTTCACCCCTTTTACAGTCCATGTTTTATCTCAGTTTGTTGTAAGCATTGCAGTTTCCACATCTGCATAAGAGTTTCCATGTACATTTGTTGACTTCACTGTACATTTTTTTGAAGTATTTCTGGTTTATGTAGGTCAGAGTCGCTTTGCTTGGTCTAAGGCTAAAAGTTGGGCAGGCTCGGATAAGACAGTTGTATAGATGTTTCACTCGTCTGAAAAAATTGTCGTCCGTTCTTTGCAAGAGGCTTTTTGGGATTTGAAATTCGCCTCTTGATGACTGTCGGGTGATTTCGCATGATTCAGATGGTTTTCGTTCTATTTCTACATCGTAACGATTTTCAAGCAGGGCTATTAGTATTAAAATGTCGTGCATTTCCATGTATAGGTTCAAAGGAAGAAGGTTCAGGTCCTTCAGTCTTTCAGTATAAGTTTTGCTTGTCCCAAAATCCATTTTGTTGCTAACTTTTGAACTCGTTCGAGTTGTTCCAAGTTCGATCTGCTAGGAGTCCATGCTTGGGGGAGTGCGGCCAGTATTTAGACAGCCGCGTATTCATACTGGTCAGTATTTAGACAAATACTGTTTCAACCAATCAGAATCGAGAAAACACATAAATAATCCAAAATAAATAATAATTATTTATTAATTTCTTCTTTGTCTCGATTCTGATTGGTTGAAACAGTATTTGTCTAAATACTGACCAGTATGAATACGCGGCTGTCTAAATACTGACATGTAACCATGCTTGGGATGCGTATGTTACTATGGGTATTACATACCCAGTATATGCGTTGAGCCTGGTGGTCACACTGCTTTTCATAGTCAGACTTCGTTTAATCTGGAAGAGAGCACTAATTGCTTTGGATGTCCGACGAGAGCAATTTTCGTTCCATGTGAGCTTGTTGGACACAATCAGTCCTAGGTCACGCTGTGAGTTTACAGAGGAAAGATTTTTGTTCAGGAGACTAGCTTTTAAATCACCTTTGATGCCGAGGAGCGTTGATTTTTTGATGTTGGGTTGCATTTTGTTTTCATGTAGCCATTTCTCTATTTTCAGAGTTGCAGAGTCAAGGGAAGTTTGATTTAGTAGAATGGCCTTAAAGTCATCTGCATACCCAAAACTGTCTGTGTCATTCATGGTTTCAGGTAGATCGTTTATGAAAAGTAAGAACAGCAGCGGTCCCAGAATTGAACCTAGCGGAACTCCACTGGTGACTTCTTTTAGGGTTGATATACAGTCTTCAATCTTAACGCATTGCTTTCTGTTGTTGAGGTATGAATATATCAGTGACAGCAATTTCCCGCCAATTCCAAAAATTTTGATCTTCGTAAGCAGAATATCATGAGGTACATTGTTTGAAGTTTTTTGATGAGGTGGGAGGTGGCTGGCGTGATCCAGGGTTGTAACCTTGATCGATGCTCAGTTATTCTAGGTACAAACTTTTCGATTTTTTCCCCACAGCCATTCGTACCATTGTCGGATAATTTCGTTCACGTTACTGTAGCAGTACGGGATAAACGGTTCAGTTTCTTTTGAAGAATTTAAGCTGTCCCAGTCTGCTCGTTTGAAAGCATATCGGTGATATGTTATTTTTGGAAGGTTAATGCAGCTAAAGGCGGCAATTGTGGTGTAGAGTGGTTTGTGGTCAGAGAACTGACTAGTTAGTTTATCTCGAATATTCCTGTCGATTTGACATTGTGAAATTAATTCTGGATTGTCGCAAAGCAGCACGTCTAGTTGAGTTGGTGCATGTTGTGAAAGATTTAGTTCAACTAATTTGTCCAGTAGTTGTATCTCGTATATGTCAGATGAGGAGAGTGCTTCCCAGTATGTTTGTGAGAAGTTGATGTCACCGGTGAGTATTAAGTCACAGAGGTTTTTTTTGTTGGCTAGTTTGAGATTTGCCATTTCATTCATCAAAATTAAGAAACTTTCAGTGGACCATTGGTAGGTGCTAGGAGTGGATGCTTTATAAACACAGCTTAAGATAATTGATCTTTTATTGGAATGTATTTCTATGATGAGATAATCAGACTTGAGACTCTCAATGGAATGTAAGTCATGTGAGATTTCATTTTTGATGGCAATGAGTACACCATCGTGCTTTGTTTTTCTGTTATCTGATGTTTCTCGGTCATTGCGATATACTTGATGGTTCTCTAGGAAGAGCGAGGCAGTTGTTACGTCTTTTGTGAGCCAGGTTTCACAGAGACAGCTAATATCGTATTCTGAGTTTTCTATTGCGTTTGACAATTTCATTCTCCTGTTTATATCCAGGATACTTCTGGTGTTGAATGTCAACATTTTCAACAATCTTAGTCATCCGGTAATGGCAACATCACCAGCTTGGTCTGCATTGTTATCGGTTTCCTGGGAAGTTTTACTTTCTTCATAAACAATCCATTTTTCGTTTTCTTTCAGTTCTAGTTTAAGATTTCTGATTTTTATCTTGCTCGGGTCGTGATTTTTTTACTATCAATTCCCTCCTTTTCTTGAGACAATTGCTTTCCTTTTCGGCATCCGCCTTGGATAACTCGGGACTGATGAAGACCCCAAGTTCCGAGAAGTCTTTTAGTTTGTAAGTCGATTTTAGGATCAAATTTTTACTTATGCTACTCTCAATGTTAAACAGCAGGGTACGAGGCCCCTTATCGGGATTGAATTTTCCAATCCGAGTTGCCTTGGATAATTTTCGGTCGTCAATTTGGAGGAATGCAAGTATTCTGTCAATTGTCCCCAGATCTTCTTGCATTCGTTCAATGTCGCTTTTTTCTTTGCTTTCTGGAACACCTCGTATTCGGATACCAAGATGAGCTTTTGGTACAGTTGGCGAATTAACCACTCTTCCTGGGCTTACGTTTCCCACGGCTGCTCGGAAATTTTTGGGTTTTTCTTTAAGTGTTTTCTCATCGGCTTGTACTTGAGTGATGATAGTGCTGGATTGCTCCATTTTTTCGGTGAGAACCTTCATTTGTAGTTGCAGGTTATCAAGTTGTTCGTCAAATTTGTTACTTGTGGTAGTTTTGTTTTTGACAAGATCGTCACGTTTGGGTTTGCAGTCATTGCAGATGTGGAGGAGGTTATCATTCAGTTTGATGAGGACTTTGACTTCATCGTTAGTGAACATAGTGCATTCAGGGGATAGATGTAGGACCTTGTCACATGTATAACATGAGAACTTAGGTCCCATTTTGAGTTTTCTGTTACAGCTGTTGCAGTTTTCTCGCATTTTGATTAATGTTCGCTTGTAGGTTTTAAGGGTGTTTTCTTGAGATGAAGTGATATACTTATAGAACAAATACTAGATCGAAGTAGTAATAGAGATAGAGATAGAGTCTAAGACCTGGACAACAAAGTCCAGTTCTTAGTCAGGGGATATAAGACCGGGAAAACAAAGTCCAGTTCATTAAATTGGAGTGAAAAGACCGGGACAATGAAGTCCAGTTCTTAAGAGGATATATTTTTGCAATTGGTCAGCTAGTTGGATGAGTTCCTGATCGTCACTGTTCTTCGGGTGCAGGGCGTGATATAGAGAACTTGCACCAATAATGTGGATCATTGAAATATGAGGCAACCCCGGCTACCTCGTAGAAACATATGAACTGAAACTTTTTAATAAGTTTAATAAGTTTCTAAAAAGGCTTTAAAACTTTTTAACCAATCAAGTTTGAACAACTATAATTACATAATATAATTACGTAAACGTGTCTAAAAAGGCTTTAAAACTTTTTAACCAATCAAATTTGAACAACTGTAATTACATAATATAATTACGTAATCATGAATAACATTTTCCTGTAAATTCTGAGATTTTTTAGTTTTTTGTTCTTTCTGGTTATAAGAATTCGATTTAGGAACATTTTTGATTCTGAAATGTCAGTTTTTTAACTTTTAGCCATGTTATACAAAGACTATAATTTCAGTGTTAATTCCCGGCTCCTGAATTCATCACGTGTGTTGATCTTCGGCCTCTCCCTCCAAATATGCAAAGCCTCTAGTGTCAGTAGTGTAACATTCGCCCAAATACTACACAGCGATGGAGCGTAGAAAAAGTACCTATTAACGACTGGCAGGCGTCAGTCACCTTAATCCTACTCGTTTTTCACCGTCTCGACATTGCCAGTTGATTTTCTGGTCTGTTTAGGGCTAAGTAAAAAACTACCATTTTTAGGCTATCAGCCAAACGACTTTTGATCAGCTTTCGTTTACATGCGAACACAACCACATAGCTGAGTCTCGGATCCTCAGACTACATGATTGCTATTAAAAGACGGCTCGAATACCCTATTTTAATATGTTTTTGTGTGACAGTTCTATATTAAATCCATTGGAGATGGATTGACCCTTTCCTCTTCCTAGCTACTCATATTCGAAAATATCAAGTTATACCGGTGTTAATTCAAAGTTCTATGGCATCAGAGTAGCTAAAAAGATAGTTTTATGCAGTCCCTTCACATACAACAGTCTCTGGGGGACCAAGCCTCCGCTCCCGTGATCTTCTCTAGATAACGTTCTTATCTCTCTCAATTTGTGGCACGGGAGGGTTCCGTGGAATATTCCTTCCCCACTGAAGCTTCCTTTTCCACTAATTTCCACTGCTAAGGTTCTTATCGGGTGTTATTGCCACGATAAGAGGCTTTGTTTCTC